CAAGGTTTGGAATAGACTGCCGCCGAAGATGGTTCAAGCACCCACTTTGAACGCCTTCAAGGCACTTTTGGATGTTTAGTTTGCTGGAATCCTGTGATCCCTGCTGACTTCCTGCCCCTAGGCAGGTGTTTGGACTCAGTGATCCTCCAGGGTTCCTTCCAGCCTAAATGTCTATGAAATCTATGAAGTGTTGGGTTGCTTTTAAATGCCAAAGTTGATCTACTTAAAAAGGTTGGAGACCACTTGGCTAGGTACTGCTTTCCAAGCTGCCAGGCTGCATTCCTAGCCATGTGCATGCATGTGGCTTTGTTTGCACAAGCACACATCATTTATCAGTGACAGTATTTGCCACATTGCCCAAAAAAAGCTGATTGCCGATTAATGTCAATTTTCCTTTTATCAGTGCCAATACGATGTGGACCAATATATTGGTGCACCTGTGTACAAAGTGTGGCTAAGCCAAAGGCCCCAAAGCCTGTCTGAGCGAGTGTAGTGTGAACCTTTGCAGATGTAACAACTAGCTTGGTTAGCAAAGTAAAGAAAGCCATCAACATGTTTAATGAAGCCTAATTAAACTAAGTGCAAGACCTGAAGGCTTAAAATATTAGTGGTAGTAATTGGTGTAACCAAATGTATTAAATGTTGTTTAACTATTATTTTGCTACAATAGATGTATTTTTGTTAAAATGCTTAGATGAATTTGTTTAAAAAAAAAAATCTGTTACAGAAGACCAGAAACTAGGGTAAATAAGTAACAGGCCAGTGTTAAACAGCATTCCCCAGTGGGAAAACAGGAGATAAGAAATCCTTCCTTATACTTCCCCAAAGACATAAACCCAACTAACTGACACCCTCCAAGTCCACAAAAGATGTTGTGCAATCCAGTTCTAAAAGCTTCAGTGTTTCAGTAAAACAAAAATGTAAATAAACCAATCGGAGATCATTTATTAAAATATTAAAACCAGCCAACTATAAATATTGGGCATAGGATAAAAAACCTCAGACTTCTCTGAAGCTTAGCAAAACCACTCGGGTGCCCAAGGGAACAAAGAAAACTGACCAGCAGACCTGTTTTTCCCTTGAATCCAAGGCTACATTAGCACTGTGTTAACTGATATGCACACTGTATTTCACAGTATATAGGTCGACCCATGGCATTTCAATTTGAAAAGTAAAGGTTTTCATAGGTACAGTATATAAATTTGGGGCCAGGCTCGGCTGGCACAACCCAGTCCCCTGCGAGTGGCACTGCCTGGGCCACAACAGCTGAGTGCCAAGCCCAGCCACATCCACTGTGAGTGGCACCATGCTGGGCGCTCAACAAGACTGCTTGCACCAGACAGGGCCTGGCTCGCCTGGCGTGGCCCCATCCCCTGCAAGTGGTGCACCCCCAGCCCTGTACCTGACCCAGTCCACTGCGAGCAGCGCCAGGCTCACAGGAGATAGGGCTGCATCAGCTAAGCGCTGAGCCTGGCCTTGTCTGCCATGAGCGGCACTGCTGAACCTGTTGCCGCTTGCAGGGGATGGGGATGGGGCTGGGCTCAGTGCTTGGTTAGTACGGCTGCATTCCCTGCAAGCGGTGCTGGGCTTGGCATTTGGCTGGTATGGACCCATCCTCTGTGAGCAGCGCTGGTGCGGTCCAGGCAGCACCACTTGCAGGGGATGGGGCTGCACCAGCTGAGCACCGAGCAAAGCCCCGTCCCCTACAAGCGGCGCTGGCGCAGCCTCATCCTCTGCAAGTGGCGCTGGCGCAGCCTCATCCTCTGCAAGTGGCGCTGTGTGGGCTGCACTAGTGTTGCTCATAGGATGGGGCCTCACCAGTCAAGCACTAAGCCCAGCGCCGCTCACGGGGTGATATGGTATAGAAGCCGAGGTTGAATTTTAAGGGTTAAAAATTGGACTTCAAATCTTGACTTGTACACTGTAAAATATGGTAAGTCTTTTCTATTGTGTAATATCTTAAAGCTTTTGAGTTGGGACTGGAATGGTCTCACTGGTCATCAGTCTCCTCTCACGCACAGTTAAAATTTAGACCTAACAAATGAGACATTAAAAGAGGAGAAAAAAACTAGCATGAGGAAGAGCGTTAAACTAGATGATGTGTCCAGCATTCAACTTAGGTAATTATTAGGGCTATGCGAAGCTTCAGTAGCCAATTCGATTCGGAGGAGATTTGGCCAGATTAGGCAGTTGAATATCCAAATCAGGAGACCCATTAAAAGGTCCGAATTGAATTGGAAGCCTCTGAATTGGTTCCGAGAGATTCAGAAGACTTGCAGCAAATGGAAACTGAGAGGAGGGAGGCGGATGGGGTGATTTTCCATATATGGAAAAGACTGAGGGAGTGGGGGAGAAAGACTGCCCTGATACTGACATCTGTGTCACACACACACCATAATGGTGGCATCAATGCGCGAGGCACCAAGATGGTGAGCCCTGCCCTTCTTCCCCGCAACCATCGCAAAAGGGTAAAACAAACGCTGCCATACCATTACTTTCGTTATCAGAACATCACCAACATAGGTGAGGTCAGCTAGTCTGCAACACCAAATAAGGCCAGGACACAGAACCCTGAGAGGTGATAGGTGAAAACAGCCAGCTCACTGTTGAGCAGGTCACCTGAGTGATATAAGGGAGTGCACAGCCGCACCCAAGTGAGGTCGTTCATCACCTGCTTTGATTATCACAAGGGATGCTAACCTGATCACCTAGCTTCCGCCTCCCATTCGCAATTAGCAACCGCCGAACGCCGCTTCATTGCTGGCCCCGACATGATTAGCAGTCTACTTTTCTGCATCTCGTTTCTCTCCTCAACGCTCACTGTGAGTAAATAAACCTCTACCTTCAACTACTCTCCGCCTCCGTGACTATCACCTCACCTCCAGTGTCTTCGGGCGACGTGAGCTGGACTCGCGTTAACCGTCCCATAGAGAGCTAATCGGCCCTTCTAACCCTGCCGTTCCGGTCCCTTGCACTGCGATCGGAAAGCAGCATGACAATCTGTAGCTGGGCAGTGACTGCAGTCTTTCTCTGAGTTCCCTTCCAATCACAGTGCTCTGGGGAGGGACATAGAAACAACATATAAAGCTGTCTGAGGTACACTTTCACAGAAACTTCTGCACCTATCTCCTTGAAACTTAAGCTTCATGCCCTCAGAAGGGGCTACGATCCCTGCTGTTTTCATCTGAATCTGCAAAAAAAATGACAAAGTTATAGGTATTTTAGTGATTCCTCGTTACCATCTATGGCCGTATCCCTGAATTGGCACCAAATCTCTGAATCTGAATCAGTCAAATTGAATTGAGACAGTGATTCGAATCACCAAATCGAATCGCTGTCTCTGAATCAGCCGAATCCAGATCCAAAGCGAATATTTGCTGCTTCGCACAGGCCTAGTAATTATACTCTGCATGTGTAAACTTTCTCTGTTTCAAAGGGTACATTTTCTTGACATCGGGTTTGATACTGCTCCTTTGAAGTCAGTGAAAGTTTGTGTAAAACTTCTGTAGAAGCAAAATTAGGCCCAAGTTGTCCTATACTGCTGCATTCTGCTACCTTTCATTTTAGATCTACCTGAATTTCAGTGCTGAATGATATTAAGTTCTATATAACTGTACTGTCTTAACAAGTAGCTCTTTGATATGTGTATGTGCTGTCTCCCCTCCCCTTCCCAATAATATATTTTGGTTTCTGGGAGACTACATGCATGCACACATCCAAAGATAAATCTGGCCTTAATTTTACAAAATTACATCATACAGAGCCTGTGTGATAGTTAAATATTAATCGTAGTAGTAATATTGTTGAAGTGTTACTGTAGTAGTGTTCTGGAATTGCTAGTAAAATTACAACTTTAAATTGTCAAAAGATTACACATTTTGGCAACATGGGTTCCCTTGTCTCTTCTCAGGATGTAGTTACTCACACGTGGGAAAAGAAATTCCATAGTTTTATTGTGGATGCAGGTTAAATTGGCCATTTAGAAACCTGGAGTTCTTTTCTACCCCATAGTAGATAAATTATGATAGGATTTTGTTTTTGTTTTTTCTCCTGTCATTTTTCATATCTTGAAAATAACCCCTTTTATCACTAGAGGCTTGATCCTACCAGTAGCTTGGCACAAGCAGACCGCTTGTAGCATCAAGCATTTGCCAGACTAAATAAGCATGGGCACAGGAGATGCTTGCATGAAGCCCCTTGCAGGCACAGGGCCTGAAGCTGGAAAAAAATGTTTTGCCAATTAATATAGATGCTCTTTTATTTTCCTGTTCAGATTATAAAGCCACAGCTGTCCTAAATTCAAGAAAGCAACCCCTAGACTTCACTTTCAGAGAAAATGCTTTGTTGTTAGTGCAGTTTTTAAAATCAAACTTATTCTAATTTTCATTTAACTGTTTGTATTCGCTTCTTATTTTTCAGGGTTCTTTGAAAAATCCTTAGTGGTCTTGACTATGTTACAACTGACATAAATTAGCCAGTGGCTCAGAATGATGGATTCCCAGAAGACTGGAAATGGTTTGCAAGTGATTGGACAAGGGACTGATATAGGGATATCCACACTCCACATGGTGGGGTTTTTGGGAAAAGTCAGTTGAAACTTGTTTTTCATGTGTGCAAAGTTCATATTTTCTCTTATTTTTAAGAGACTATAATTTGGTCTTGTTTGCAAAATTAACTGCTTTATAAAATTGTTTTCCACGGAAATCTTATACTAAAGGCGAAAGATTGTTCTACTGTACTTAAAATTCAAAAAAGTTATTATATTTATTGCCGGCTCTGTTCTTGAAAGTGTTTGATCTAATCAAGTCAACAATTTGTGATTTGTCTATGAGAATTCAGAGTTTGTGTTCACTGGCAGTTAACCTTTTTGTTCAGTGCAAATAAAACGAATGCCATTTCAACCTGTACTCTTTTAAATAAAATCATTTCATGAAGTTTATTCTATTTAAATCACAATCGAGGAAACCAATTAATTTAGAAAACCATACACTGTATGTGTATTTTATTTGCTATGATCACATTCTAAACTGTCATGGTTAACTTATAAATACATAGTGTAAACAATATATAAAAAATGCATCTTGTTTTCTATGTTGTCATTTATGTCTTGCATGTGAAAAATAACATTTAAAATGCATATGCTGGTATCACTGGTTTTTGTTTTTGTTTTTTTAGGATTATAATTTTGTGAGTACAACTTCAGATAAGTACTGTCCAGCCTGCAAAGAGAAGGGCCAGATACAAGGTTTACGGGCCTACCGCATTAACTTTCAAGAGTCCATCTTTCTATGTGAAAATCCACAGGTAGTACCTAAATTTGGTCTGTTGAATCTATTTATTTATTTTTAGCAATTCTACTCCTGTAGCTTATCATTTGGCATCTTTTAAATCAGAGATGGGCAGTTATTTGGGCCTGAGGGCCACATGGGAAGTTTTGATGAGCTGTCTGGGCTGGGTCAACACTCCCCCCCCCCCCCAACTTGTCAGAACTCCCTATGGGGCTACAGGTGGGCAGGGAGCAGTGTTCAGGAGTGGGAGGGATGAGCAAAGCTGGGATCACGTGTCTGGGTCATGGGGTGGTGACAGCTGGGGAGGCTGCCATTGATGCGGGGGGTATGTGCAGCAGAGCTTGCCCGGGCACTGTGGTCTGTTCTGCCCTTGCAACACTCTGTCCCTTGCTGCATTGCGCTTCGTAGCTTCCTGTGGGTCTGTTCCCGATGTGCCTGCAGCCAGCTGGGTGCTGCTCTGCTTCCCCCACCTCCTAGTGGCAGCTCCTCTGTTGCACTGTGCCACTCCCAGCAGGTAGCTCCTGAATCAGCACGTGGGGAACTGGTTTCAGCTCCCGCTTGCCTTCCATTGGAAGACGGCTGGGAGCTGGAGCCCACACACTGGGTCAGGAACTGCCCAACTGAAGCTGCTCACCCGGAGTGGTGCAGTGCAGTCTGGTAGGGGCAAAATAACAAGCAGGAGCTGACACTGGAGGCGGGAAGAGCAGAGTGGCATCCAGCTGCAGCTATGCTGGGAACAGCTCTACCGTAAGCTGCACACACGGGCTGAGCCATGGGTGCCAGCAGGAACCAAGTGCAGGCTGCCCTAGTGGGAGTGGCCCCAGCTGGATCCAGTCACTTGGCAGGTTGGACCACAGGCTATATTTTGTCCAGCCTTGCCCTCTCTAAGGCAGGCTCTCAAGAGCCTCTATGCTGAGTGACTGTAAAAAGGAGCAATCAGAAGAAAGGCTGGTATGCCTATACATATAAATGTATTTATTTATATATTTATTAAATTTGTGTGTTCCTGCCCTTCCCAAAAAAGGCTCAGGATGTCTTCCAGTAAAAAAAAACAAAACAAAACAAAACCCAAAATAATTTTATAAAAGCAGATAAAATATTTAAAAGAAATAAGAGGTACAAGGGATATAACAGAAATTCCCCAAACAGTGCGCTGACTTAGGCAGATGTTCAGTGATCAAAATTAAGTCAAAAGGTCTTGCAGTGCTTCCAGAAGATGTCCAGGTTCAGGATCTGGTGGGCACAATAGAGAAGCTACTACCAAGATTTACCGAAGGGGACTAAGAATGCTGTGTTTTTGCTGCTTGGTGCAGCAGTTCTTGCACAATGTTGCTGTCTAGGCATAAGTTAGTAAACTACTGTATTCACCTGAATTTAAGACCCCCCCCCCCAATAATTAGGTTCTATAGATGAAAAGTTTACCAATTTGTTATAATTTTCCATGTATACCTTCTAATTATTGGAGTGTCTTAAATTTAGTCTTGCTGTGGGGCAGGCAGTAGCAGGTGAAGGGAGCAAGGCATGTGGTACATGTGGGCGAGTCATTTGCCCCCATGCTAATTACGTTTTGGCTCGAGCCCAGCGACAGACCAGGGCATGGAGTACATTGTCACTTTTGGCCCCTGAACCACAGTTACAGCAGTGGCAGCTCCTGTAAATGTCCAAACTTTCAAGATACTGGGTTTCTTTTAACTATAACCTTAGTTAACTTTCTTTGCTGCTTAGTATTTCGGGGTCTCTGCTTTTAAACACACTTCTATGTTCTCCTGAGAATTGATACCTTTTATGCTACCTGAATTATCCTTATACTTTAAGGAAGGGGTGTCAAACTCACCTGTCTCCCTGGGTCAAATGAGGAGTGCAGGCCAGGACTACAGGCTGCATTGGGCCTACAGGCCAGCCTGTGTATCACATCTAGCATGCAGGAGCAATGCAGTGCAGGTGCCATATACAGCATGTACCCCAGACTGGCCTCATATGCTGCCTGCTGTATATAGCACCTGGACCAGTCCAGAGTGTCAGACTGCCAGATCCAGCACGCAGGGCTATGCAAGGCCAGTATGGACCCTATCCAGACTGGCCCCAAATACGGTATGCAGGGCTGGTCCAGCGTAGGCACTGCTTGCAGCGCACACCTTGGACCAGCCCCATGCACCTTGTGCAGCCCATGCCCCTGACTGGCCCTGCATGCCTTGTGCATTCCCCAGTTCCAGCCTCATGTTGTAGGCAGTGTATACCAGATGGGCTCTGTGTGCAGTGCACAGGGTCAAGGCTTGGGCTAGTGTGTGCTGGATGTGGCATGTAGGGCCAGTCTGAGATGCACAGGCAGCATTGCAGTTGAATGATAGGGCTCTGTGGGCCAGATGCAGCCCACAGGCCATATTTTTGACACTCCTGTTTTAAGGTAAGTTTCATGTCAGGGTTTCTGTTTCTTCTTTTTAAAAAGCCACAACTTTAGTCTGGGAGAATAGAGGGCTTGAAGACATTTCTCCTACTTCCAGGAGATTGGATTTAGTGGGCTGTGAGAGAGGAAATCCTATGAGGTCTGTTTGAAGGGTTGGAGAGAGCTAGAGAGAGAGAAAAAATGTACCAGCTCTCACCATTAATGGAAGTACCTTCTATTAGTGCCCATTATTGTCATTTATAAGCTGAATGATTAACATGCATTTCAGTCATCTCTGATTTGTATACAACTTTAGTAATGTATCAAAGAGCAAGAGATCCGAGTTCTGTTTGAACTTCATGGTTTGTATTTCCAGTTGTTATAAAATGCTGTCTGGATTTCTATAATCTTTTTTCTTCCTTTCAGTGCATCTATCCTCTGGGCTATAAACCTCTTGACAGCATAATAATGACTTGTGATTCAGCAAATCATCAAACGCCAGGTATTCAGAGAAAAAGGAAATGCTTTGAAACCAGTCCTATAACTTCTCCCATTAGATCATGTTCAAAACAGGCAAGAACTGTCAACTTGAAGGACACTGAACAGACTTCAGACACTGATCTTGTCATCAACTACAGTGGAAATAATTTATATAGGACTCTAATTGATGTGTCACAGGATGATCAGCAGAAATCAGATGGGACAATTGAGACCTTGGAGCAGAAAGTGGGCTTGGAAGCAGCTATTGCTGTCAGTGGTTCTCAAGAGAGTCATATTGAGGGCTCTAACTCCAGAACACAACTTCTGCCAAATTCTGTACTCTGTCCAATAAAATCTGAAGTACTGTTTGAAGATAAGTCTGCATTGCTTGTAACACCTCTGTCTCTTCAGTGGAGGAATGTATATGCTCTCTGTTGGTTAAATTGTATCCTGTCAGCACTGGTACACTTGGAAGTGTTAAAGACTTTGATGACTACAGGGTGCACTGAAGAAGAATCTGTCCTCCAGAGACTGTTGACAAAATATAGTAAAGCAACTGCACTCTTGAAAAACTGCCTAAGTAGTGAGCTAAAAAGTGAGTAAATTTTACGTTCCTATTTCTTTTGACTTTAAAATACTTGAATGTACAAGAATATTGATACAAGAACATGGAGGAATTCAGCAGAGTGTGCAGAAGTCTGTTCCCTTCTGTTTCAGATTGCCAAGGCTGAGCTGATACTTTGCAATAGAATTCAAGATAAGGATGTAATTTCCCAGGGCAGATTCTCAGTAACAGGTGAAAACATTTTCTGAGTCACTAAAAGAAAGAGGGGGATGGGAGGGATTGTACCTCCTTTCCTCAGCACTGATTAGGCCTAATCTAAAGTATTGTGTGCAGTTTAGAAAGGGCATGGAGAAGTTAAAACAGGGTCCAGAAGCAGATGACCTAAAATTAAAAGGGCTTGGACGGGAAGCCATATCAGAACAGTTTGAAACATAGGCATGTTCAGCCTGTGAACAACATGCTTCAAAGGGGACATGATAGCAGCTTTGAAGTATCTGAAGGGTTTCCATAAAGAAAAGGGGGAGCACTTTTTTTTCTCACTGCAGAAAGCAGGATACAAGTAATAGCTTGAAGTTGTAGTAAAGTAGGTTTAAATTGAATATTGGGAGAAACTTCTTCACTGTTTTAGAACAGCAAGGCGGTGAAATAGACTGTCAATGGAAGTTCTGCAATCTCCATTGTTGTGGGTCTTCAAGGGAAGGTTGGATAAGCATTAGTCAGGCATGATCTAGGAGTAGCTGTCCTTATGCTATGCTGTGGGTATTTCCCATGCTTCTGGGCTTTGCCATGTGAGACAAGGAAAGAGTTTTTCTTCCCTTCCTGTTGTGTCAGAGGTTTTTTGTAGGTTTAAATACCTTCCTCAGAACCCCTGAGAGAGTTGGCTGCAATCAGGGCTGAGGATTTTGACTAGAGAATGCCAGTGCTCCTTCTAGGGATAAAACCTGGAGGTTAATGGCTAGAGGGTATAGCCCCTCCACTTAGGGTCAGACTGATCACCACATTTGGGGTCAGAAAGGAATTTTACCTTTTGGTCAGATTAGTATGGACTGGGGAGGTTTGCCTTCCTCTGTAGCAGGGGGCTTGGCCCTCTTTGTATCCTGATTGTATATTAACAACCTTTGCAGCAGCAGGGCACTGAACACTGTTGCTGTCTCCCCTCCCCTCACTTTGTGTGGCAAGTTAGGGTGCCTTGTAGTTGTGACGTTTGTTGATTGTATGGCTTTACCAATATGTTAGACAAAGATTTGTATGGGATGGTCTGAATAGGGATGATCCTATTTCAGGCTAGGGGTTGAACTAAGTGATGACCTCTAGAGTTCTGTTCCGTTGCTACTTTTCTGCAGTTTGAAATGTTTTCTCAAGACATATGTGTACATGTTTGTTTGTTTGTTTGTTTGTTTGTTTTTTAAGTGGATTGAAAATTCGAGGTTTCATTGATGCATTTTTTTCTGGTACAAACAGAAGATAAATTCAGATCATTTATGTAAATAGGGGTTTTTGTTTTGTTTGTTCCTAGTTAACTTTGCAGTAGTGTACTTGCTTTTCTCCACTGAAGACTTATGTTCTAATATAGCTATATAACTATATTAATGAACAGTTGACCTTCACACAAATATTTAGAAGTATGGTCTTAGAATCATAGAAAATCGAGGTTGGAAGGGACTTCAGGAGACCAACCAGTTCAATCCTCTGCTCAAAGCAGGACCAGCCCCAACTAGATCATCCTAGCAAGGCTTTGTCAGGTCAGCTCTTAAAAATGTCCAAGGATGGAAATTTCACGGTCTCTCTGAGTAACATGTTCCAGTGCTTTATTACCTTCCTCATGAGTATTGATTTCTTAATATCTAACCTAAACTTCCATTGCTGCAACTTGAGACCATTGCTCCTTGTTCTGTCATCTGCCACCACTGAGAATAATCCAGCTCCATCCTCCTTGTAACCACCCTTCAGGTAGTTGAAGGCTGCTATTAAATTTCTGCTCAGTCTTCTCTTCTGCAGATTAAATAAGCCCAGTTCCCTCAGCCCCTCCTCAGAAGTCATGTGCCCCAGTCCCCTAACCATTTTCATTGCCCTCCGCTGGACTCTCCAATTTGTCTACATCAGGGGTTGTCAGCCAGGGGTATATGTACCCCTGGAGGTACTTGGGAAGGCCCCAGGGGGTATGTGGCAGCAGCGTGGAGAAGCAGAGATACTTGGGAAGTGGCAGCGCAGGGGGCAGGGACACCGCCAGCATTCATCACTCCGCATTGCTGCCATATGCCATTTCTCCATGCCCAAATACCTCTGCTTCTCCGTGAAGCTGGTGGGGTGGAAGGGGTACCCAGGGGGCAGGGCCGCCGCCATCCATCACTCCGTGCCACTGCTGCCAGGCACCGTGTGCCACTTCCCTGCACCCAAGTATCCCTGCTTCTCTGCGCCAGCAGCTTCATGCATGGCCAGCTGACAGCACACCCGGTGCACGGCAGCAACGTGGGGAGCTTGCACACGGCAGCCACCCCCACTGCCATTTATCCATTCAGCGCCGCAGGGGCAGGGGGTGCTCACGACTGGCTGCATGCAAAGCCAGCAGTGCAGAGAAGCAGGGATACTTGGGTGCAGGAAAGCGGTACAGGGCGGTGTTGCCGCCGCCATCCATCACTCTATGCCGCCACCAGGCACCGCTTTCCCGTGTCCAAGTATCTCCACTCCCCCCCCACCCCCCAGGCATGAGGCGGCAGCACTGAGTGTATAGATGGCAGTGGGGGCAGCCGCTGCCATGTGCAAGCCCCTCAAGCTGCTGCTGTGTGCTGGGGAGGGGGTGCTGACACATGCAAAGCCAGTGGCATGGGAAAGCTGTGCCGAGCGGCAGCACAAAAGTGTATGATTGGCAGTGGCAGCCACTTACAAGCTCCCTGCACTGCCAGCTCTGTGTCTGGCTGGCTGTCAGCACATGGCACACCCCACACTGCGTCCAGAAGGGGTACTCAGCTTAAAAGGTTAAGAACCCCTATATCTCTTCTGTAGTGGAAAGTCTAAAACTAAACACGGTACTCCAGATGTGGCCACACCAGTGACAAATAGAGGGGGAGTATCACTTCCCACAATCTGCTGGCAAAACTCCTACCAATGCAGGAAGTATGCCATTAGTCATCTTTGCAACAAGAGCACACTGTTGGCTCATACTTAGTTTATTGTCCACTGGAACCACTAGATCCTTTTCTGCAGAGCTGCTGTCCAACCAGTCAGCCCTCAGCCTGTAGCAGTGCATGGGATTGTTCCATCCTAAGTGCAGTACTTTGCACTTGTGCTTGTTGAACTTCATCATGAGAGGTGGTTTTTGGGGTTTTTTTGGTCCAGTCCAATTCATTGAGATCTCTCTGAATCCTAACCCTACCATCCAGCTGTATTATTCTCCCCCCCCCCAAGCTTGGTGTAATCTAGAAACTTGCTGAGGGTGTGCTTTATCCCAGCTTCTAGGTTGTTGAAGATGCTGAACAAAACCAACCCCTGGGGTACTCCACTTTGATACCAGCTGCCAACCAAACATGCAGCCATTAATTACTATCCTTTGAACCCAACAATCCAGCCAGTATTTTGTCTACCTTACAATCCATTCCTCCAACCCATACTTCCTTGGTTTCCTTGTGATTTAATGTTGTGGAAGACCCTGTCAAAAGCCTTGCTAAAGTCCCTACATCCACAGAGGCATTCACCGCATCATAGAAGGCTGGTCAGGCTTGATTTGCCCCTGGTGAATCTGTGTTGACCATTCCTGATGAGTTTCTTCTCCAAGTGCTTGGAAATAGATTTCTTGAAGACCTGTTCCATGGTTTTTCCAGGGACTGAGGCGAGGCTTACTGTTCTGTAATTCCCCAGATCCTCTTCCTCCTCCTACTTTCTTCAAGATGGGCACTGTATTTGCCCTTGCCCCATCATCCGAGACCTCTCCCAACTCCCATGAGTTTTCAAAGATAATGGCCAGCGGCTCTGCAGTTGAATCAGCCAGCACCCTTGGTTGCATTGCAGCTGGCCCCATAGACTTGTACCCATCCAACTTTTCTATACAGACCCTAACCTGTTCTTTCATCACAGTGGGCTGCTTACCTCCTCCGCAAATTGTGCTGCTAGGTGCAGTAGTCCAAGAGCTGACCTTACCTGTGAAGTCTGAGGTAAAAAAGGCATTAAGTACTTAAGCCTTTCCGCATCATCCGTCACTAGGTTGCCTCCCCCATTCAGTAAGGGGGACCCACTCTTTCCCTGATCTTCCTCTTTTTGCTGACATACTTGTAAAACCTTCTTGTTGCCCTTCAAATCCCTTGCTAGCTGCAACTCCAGTTGTGCTTTGGCCTCTGTGATTTCATCCTTGCATGCCCTAGCGGTACTGTTATGCTCCTCTCTAGCCATTTTTCCAGCTTTCCACTTCTTGCATGCTTCCTTTTTGTGTGTTAGCCCACAGAGTTCCCTGCTAAGCCAAGCTGGTCATCTGCCATTCTTGCTAGTTTTCCTGCGCATTGGGATGGTTCATTCCTGTGTCCTCAGTAAGGTTTCTTTATACAGGCAGTCCTCTGACTTAAGACTTGGCTTTCAGGAACCAGTTGTGTCGTAAGTCGAAACGTAACTTAGAACCAATTTTCTCATAAGAAACAACATTATAAATAGGGCA